AATAGAAACTGTAAAAAAAAAAAACCCCACAACTTTGTTCTTTGAATGCAATCGTGTTGTTTCTCGCGTTGACCTTTCAATTAATTACCCACAAAAGTTCCCTCTCTCAGTTTTGTCCAAACAAGCTTGTTTTCAAACATCTCTTCACCACCTTCCTATGTTACTGATTAACTTGACAGATCCAATTGGTTTTTCTCAAGGAAAGATTCCCCCAAAGTGTCTTTTTCCATCAGCATCAACAGAAAATACCTATCTTTCGGAGTGATCACCGTTAGTAGAGTCTGGCCTTAGGTTTTACAAACTTATTTACACCAGGTTTGGGCCCTGGCTGTTTATTTTGGTTTGTTTTCCCAACGTTGAGCTGCAGGAAAAGGTCACATCTGTCTCCCTTTAAATTGTGTGCCTTAGTCACAAAGGACTGGGTAGAATAAAGAAACCAGCGCTGTGTGTTAAGAAAAATCAACATTTCTCTATGCCCCAGAATAACTTCTAATATAAGTAATAGGGGTAAATTTTACTTAGCCAACCACAAACATTAATTAGGCTTATCTATTGTCTTTCTTTAAAGAGTTTAAGGTGGGATAGGCTCAGAGAGAGGGACTGTCTGAAAGTCATCATCTATAGATCTTCCATGACCGAAGATAGCCTAGCACAGGGGTAGGCAACCTTGGCTCTTTTATGACTCGTGGACTTCAACTCCCAGAATTCCTGAGCCAGCCATGCTGAGGGGAAAGGAAGAGGTTTCCATGCTGAGCCATACTGGCTCAGGAATTCTGGGAGTTGAAGTCCGCAAGTCTGAACAGTTGCCAAGGTTGAGGACCCCTGATATAGGGCAGGGGTGGGGAACCTTGGCCCTTTTATGACTTGTGGACTTCAGCTCCCAGAATTCCTGAGCCAGCCATGCTGAGGGAAAGGGAGAGGCTTCTAAGCTGAGCCATGCTGGCTCAGGAATTCTGGGAGTTGAAGTCCATAAGTCATGAGGGCCATAGTTCCCCCATGCTGGCTCAGGAATTCTGGGAGTTGAAGTCCACGAGTCTTAAAGCTGCCAAGGTTGAGGACCCCTGATATAGGGCAGGGGTGGGGAACCTTGGCCCTTTTATGACTTGTGGACTTCAACTCCCAGAATTCCTGAGCCAGCCATGCTGAGGGGAAAGGGAGAGGCTTCTAAGCTGAGCCATGCTGGCTCAGGAATTCTGGGAGTTGAAGTCCACGAGTTATAAAAAGGGCCAAGTTTGAAGACTCCTGGACTAGAAGCTCAGTCTCCTTGCTCCATGTCCAAAACCTTCACCACTGGTCCATAGCGGTTCTTTTAAATGTTGATCAGAATATATATATTATTTGCTACAGTTAATACGGTATATATATATTTTTGTTTTCTTTCATTGAATCGTGCCCAAGTCTCGGAGAATACCTGGATAACTTCCTGCAGTTTTTTTGGCAAGGTTTTTCAGAAGTGGTTTACCATTGCCTCCTTCCTAGGGCTGGGAGAAAGTGACTGGCCCAAGGTCAGCCAGCTGGCTTTGTGCCCGAGGCATAACTAGAACTCACAGTCTCCGCTCTCTAGCCTGATGTCTCTAGCTACTACAGACTACACTAAACTGCCTCTCATTATAAATGGTACATATAAATAAAAGAAGGAAAGAAGGAAAGAAAGAAAGAAAGAAAGAAAGAAAGAAAGAAAGAAAGAAAGAAAGAAAGAAGGAAGGGAGGGAGGAAGGGAAGAAGGAAGGAAAGGGGGGAAGGAAGGAAGGAAGGAAGGAAGGAAGGAAGGAAAGAAAGAAAGAAAGAAAGAAAGAAAGAAAGAAAGAAAGAAAGAGAATCAGCAAGATGGCCAACAGGAAGCAGAAAGGAGGGCAGAAGGAAGGGAGGGAGGAAGGGAAGAAGGGAAGGGGGGAAGGAAGGGAAGGAAGGAAGGAAAGAAAGAAAAAAGAGAAGAAAGAAAGAAAGAAAGAAAGAAAGAAAGAAAGAAAGAAAGAAAGAAAGAAAGAGAATCAGCAAGATGGCCAACAGGAAGCAGAAAGAGGGGCAGAAGGAAGGGAGGGAGGAAGGGAAGAAGGAAGGAAAGGGGGGAAGGAAGGAAGGAAGGAAGGAAAGAAAGAAAGAAAGAAAGAGAATCAGCAAGATGGCCAACAGGAAGCAGAAAGGAGGGCAGAAGGAAGGGAGGGAGGAAGGGAAGAAGGAAGGAAAAGGGGGAAGGAAGGAAAGAAAGAAAGAAAGAAAGAAAGAAAGAAAGAAAGAAAGAAAGAAAGAAAGAAGGAAAGAAGGAGGGGGGAGGGGGAGGGAGGAAGAAAGGAAAGAAAGAAAGAAAGAGAGAGAGAGAGAAAGAAAGAAAGGAAAGAAAGAAAGAAAGAAAGAAAGAAAGAAAGAGAATCAGCAAGATGGCCAACAGGAAGCAGAAAGAGGGGCAGAAGGAAGGGAGGGAGGAAGGGAAGAAGGAAGGAAAGGGGGGAAGGAAGGAAGGAAGGAAGGAAGGAAGGAAAGAAAGAAAGAAAGAAAGAAAGAAAGAAAGAAAGAAAGAAAGAAAGAAAGAAGGGTCAGTCAACAAGATGGCCAACAGGAAGCAGAAAGAGGGGCAGAAGGAAGGGAGGGAGGAAGGGAAGAAGGAAGGAAAGGGGGGAAGGAAGGAAGGAAGGAAGGAAGGAAGGAAAGAAAGAAAGAAAGAAAGAAAGAAAGAAAGAAAGAAAGAAAGAAAGAAAGAAGGGTCAGTCAACAAGATGGCCAACAGAAAGCAGGAAGGGAGGGAAGAAGGGAGGGAAGAAGGAAGGAAGGAAGGAAGGAAGGAAGGAAAGAAAGAAAGAAAGAAAGAAAGAAAGAAAGAAAGAAAGAAAGAAAGAAAGAAAGAAAGAAAGGGAATCAGCAAGATGGCCAACAGGAAGCAGAAAGGAGGGCAGAAGGAAGGGAGGGAGGAAGGGAAGAAGGAAGGAAAGAAAGAAAGAAGGGTCAGTCAACAAGATGGCCAACAGAAAGCAGGAAGGGAGGGAAGGAGGGAGGGAAGAAGGAAGGAAGGAGTTGCAGTTTGGGTTAAGAACAATTCCTTTTTTCTGTTGTTGAAGTATTTTAGATAATGTGGCCGTAGGAAAATCCTGAGCATCTGTTGGATGGTGCCAAGACCGTTCTCCCTGATTTATTCTTAGTCCGAATTGTTCCCTCCTTGTAAAACTGAAGCCAAGGTACAACATCTAACAACTGGCTCTCCTTAAGGCGGTGCAGAACTCAAGCTATCCTGCAATAAGCCGTGGAAAAAAAAGTTTAACACTTCAAATGATTTAGGGCTGATAAATCCACCTGCCTCTCGGAAATACTTTTCTGCTTTCAGGGAAAGGGAATCCAGGAACGAATCCTGCCTCGCCCTTTGGATCGTTTTGTGGGATGTGAAGATGGCTAATTAGAATAAAATTTAGGAAAATTATACATTGCAGTGAAGAGAGCAGTTTTTTTCTGTTTTCCGAAGGTGACACGTGTCAAGCTATTTCCCCTGGCAATCGGCCGAGCTGAAAATCAATTAAAATATTGCATAAATCTGCTTTAAACGTTTAAAGAAGATGGGCAGCCCTTTCTATTTTGTTTGGTAGCTATTTTAATTGAATTTAATTCCCATCCCTGCATCGTTTCAAGCCGATCGTTAAATAGCTGCAGAGACACACTGGGTTTCTTTAACCGCTTGTTTCAATAGTGGATATTTTCTGGAGCCTCTGACTCTTTCAAGCAGACCAAATTAAAAAATAAAAAAACAGCAACAAAAACAAATGCATGCGCGTGTGTGTTCACTCCTACTGACTGTGACAAATCTGGAAAAAAGCTAATTTAGGTATTTTTAAAATCAGATCAGCCAGCAGAGACATAAATATAGAAGTTCTGATGCTTTCAGCCTCTTGGCACTAAATACAAGATCTGTGAAAGTACCGTTTGCTGGGGAGAAATTTTCTTTTATAAAAATTGTGGGAACTTCCTGCTATGTCACGAATAGATGAGGAAGATGTGGTTGTTGTTTTTTTTTAAAAAAAAGAAAATATTATTGTGTTCTATTTAGTGGCCTATTGCCAAAAGATGCGCTCAGAAGAATCATTAATGTAGTACATAAACACAACACAACAGCGACAGAATTATGGACGTTCCATTACGGGAGGATTTGAAGAAGAGATTGTATAATTATTTGTCTGGAATGGTATAAGGAGAATTGTCCTGGGTGGGGGGTTGGACTAGAAGACCTCCAAGGTCCCTTTCAGCCCCTAAAAGCTAAATAAATAATAGGGAGGGAGGTGGGGAAGGGGAGAGGGAGGAAGGAAGGGAGGGAGGGAGGGAGGAAAGAAGGAAGGAAGGGAGGAGGGAGGGAGGGAGGGAGGAAAGAAGGAAGGGAGGGAGGGAGGGAAGGAGGGGGGAGGAAAGAAGGAAGGGGAACGGAGGAAGGAGGAGGAAAGAAGGAGGGAAGAAGGGAAGGAAGGGAGGGAGGGAGGAAAGAAGGAAGGGAGGAAAGAAGGAAGGGAGGGAGGGAGGGAGGAAAGAAGGGAGGGAGGGAGGGAGGGAGGAAAGAAGGGAGGGAGGGAGGGAAGGAGGGAGGAAGGAAGGAAGGAAGGAAGGAAGGAAGGAAGGAAGGAAGGAAGGAAGGAAGGAAGGAAGGAAGGAAGGAAGGAAGGAGAAGGAGGGAAAGGAAAGAAGAAAGAAACATACATGTAACCTGCGTATGAGAAATACAATCCTGGAGATACTCTAACAACAAGTAGCAAACTATGGATATAATGATGAATTGCATGATTAACGTTTTTATCACTTCTCTCTCTTCTCCCTCCTCCTCCTCTCCTTCTTTTCCTCCTCCTTCTCCTCTTCCTTCTATCTACCACCTTCTCCTTCTCTCCTTCTTCTCCTCCTTCTCCTCCATCTACCACCAAATCCTCCTCCTCTTCCTCCTCCTTCTCCTCCTCCTCCTTCTCCTCCTCCTCCTCCTCCTCCTCTTCTCCTTCTCCTCCTTCCCCTCCCTCCCCCTTCCGCTTTTATCTTCCCAGCTGCTTGCCTTATCCTCGGTTGTATGATTTATCCCGATGGCTGGGACGCAAAAGAGGTCAAGCGGATGTGCGGGGAGAAGACAGACAAGTACACGCTGGGAGCCTGCTCCATCCGCTGGGCCTACATCTTGGCCATCATTGGGATCCTGGATGCCCTCATCCTCTCCTTCCTGGCCTTTGTACTTGGCAACAGGCAGGACAGCTTACTAGCGGAAGAGCTGAAGTTGGAAAACAAAGGTAAGATGGTTTCGGTCCACGTCTACGGAGAGTCTCAGTCACGCAGACCACGGGTGTCCCAAAGAGGCTTTCCTGAGGTCTTTCCTTGAAGACTGTTCGCTTCTCATCCAAAGGGCTTCTCCAGCTCTGGATGAAGAAGCTTCTTGGATGAGGAGCGAAATTACTTCAAGGAAAAAAACAAAAACGGTGACTCCCCCGTTGACTTTGCTTGACGGGAGGTCACTAAAGGGCGTCACAGGAACCCCGGTGGTGGGATTCAGCCGGTTCACACCATTTCGGCAGAACCGGTAGCTCATGTTTGTGTCGACCAGGCCCAGAACGGACTTCCGGAAGCGGCATCCACGCAGAGAACTGGTGGTTCACCTATTTGAATCCCACCACTGCATGACACACACACACACACACACACACACACACACCCAGTACACTGCAACCATCATAAATACATCTCAAGTGCCTGAATTTTGATCACCTGACCCCGGGGAATGCCACAAAGGTCGTAAGTGTGAAAAACGCTCAGAAGTCACTTTTTTCCAGCACCGTCATAACTTCAAAAGGCCACTAAACAAATAGTTCTAAGTCGGGGACGTCAAGCTATTTATTCTCCCTCACAATCCTTGTTCTCACTTGAATTCATTAGGCCCTTTACTCATTTTTTTTAATAAACATTGTACTTATAACTTCTGGCTTTTAGTATTAACTATAGTGATGATGATGATGATGATGATGATAATGTTGCTGCTGCTGTTGTGGTTGTTGGAAGGGACCTTGGAGGTCTTCTAGTCCAACCCTATACTGCAGTGGTTCTCAACCTGTGGGTCGGGACCCCATTTGGGGTCAAACGACCATTTCACGGGGGTCGCCAAACAACGCAGTCTGCCATTTTTTTCCCCTTTTCCTTAGCTGCGCTACTCCCTTTTATTCTATTGGCTTTTGAAAACCAATAGAATAGACTCTCTTGAATAGAGTCTAATCCTATTGGCTTTCCAAAGCCGATAGGAATTGTCCAGGCTGTCTCTGCCCTGCTGAGCCCACCAAAAGTCCCATTCTGCAAACGGTGCTGCACCAGTTGAGTAGTCCTCGACTTATGACCGGTTGGGGGTCGCGGCATTAAAAAGGTTGAGAACCACTGCTATACTGTACCATTTCAGATAAATGACTGTCCAGTCTCTTTTTAAAATCTTACAGTGTTGGAGTATTCACAGCTTCTGGAGTCAAGGAGTTCCACTGATTAATTCTTCTAACTGTCAGGAAATTTCTCCTTAGTTCTAAGTTGCTTCTCTCCTTGATGAGTTTCCATCCGTTGCTTCTTGCCCTGCGTTTACGTAGGTGCTTTGGCGAATAGCTTGACTCCCTCTTCTTTGGGGCAACCCCTGAGATACTGGAAGACTGCTATCATGTCCCCCCTCGTCCTTCTCTTCATTAAACTAGACATACCCAATTCCAGCAGCCGTTCCTTATATGTTTTAGCCTCCAGTCCCCTGATCATCTTTGTTGCTCTTCTCTGAATTTTTTTCCAAAATCTCAACATCTTTTTTTTGTATTGGGGTGGCCAAACCTGGATGGCGTATTCTAAATGTAGTCTTACTAGGGCTGTCATGGATCTATCCAAAGTCCATATAACTTTCTTCCGTGTGCTCAGGAGAATGATTGAGCATAGTTATTATTCTCTCCTTTGAAAACAACTGGAGTTATTTTGTTAACAAGCAACAATTCTGAGGCAATTAAATGTTTTGCAAAAGATGCAACTGACAATCTTGCTATTCACCAAATACACATGTTACACGTAACTGGGACATAGAGGAAATTCATAATAAATAACCCAACACTGAAGAATCAAGGCATTTAAGTGCTTTCTAGAGAATTTGAGTCCACGCTGATCTCGAAAGATTAAAAGGGATTATGTGAGGGTGAAGAACGATAGAGCTATATTATTCAAGATCAGACGCATCCTTAAAATTGCGGGTTTTCAATTGAGGAAAAAAATATACCAAGTATAAACTTTAAAGAGCTTCCTATATAGATGTCAGAAGAAATATATGGAATTCATCAATGTATATTTATACATTTTTCTTGTACTTATGGTGAAAAGAGCCAAATTTATCTCTTCGGTTCAAATATATATTACAGTATGTGTCTTATCTAGTCTGAAAGCTATACCTAATTTATTTTAGAAGTTAAGAGAGCAACCCAAAAGAACGGGATCGTTAATATTCATAAGAAACCGCATTAAAATATGATTTTTAAAGATAATGTGGCCTTTTGCGTTTCCAAACACTTTCTATGATAGACTGTCAGACAGCTTTAAAGCAGGAGCTTGTTTTTTCTACTGGCAACTTTTAATCCTGCCAACATTTCTTGCATCTTGCCTGTTTCTTGTTTATCTCCAAAGTTAAAATGCAAAATAGAAAGATGAAGAAAAAGCATCCGCTACGAACAAAACAACTGAACAGTATGGAGGGGGGGGGGAAACTGCATGCGTTCAACAACAAATAACAGATATTGAGAACCAAGCCAGCAGATTCAGTCACGTTTTTTAAAATCGAAGTAGACAATTTTTACTTTAGGTAACCATGAAGAGGGAGCGATTTCATTTGATGATGTGTGAGAATAAAGTTTAAAAAAATGCTCAGGGTGATAGACCCATTCCTTGACTCAAGTGCTGAGGTTTTTGGGTTTTTTTCTCTAAGAGAAATTCTTCTCCCTTTCTCCCTCCGTCCCTGTTCAATCCTTTCCTGCTTCCTTCCCTCCTTCCTTCCTTCCTTCCTTCCTTCCTTCCTTCCTTATCATTCTGTTATCTTCCTTTCCTTCTCTATTATTCTATTATCTTCCTCCCTTCCCTTCTCCCTTCCTCCCTCCCTGTCTTCTCTCTTTCTATCCTCTCTCCCTCTTCCTTCCTTCCTTCCCTCCTTCCCTCCTTCTCTTTCTCCTTTCGTTTATCCATCCTTCTTTCCTTATCATCCATTATCTTCCTTCCTCCCTCCCTCCGTTTTCCCTCCTTCTCTCTTCCCTCCCTCCATCTTTGTTCCTTCCCTTCTTTCCCTTCTTCTCACTCTCTTTTCCTTCCTTCCTTCCTTCCTTCCTTCCCTCTCTTCCACCTTCCTTCCTTCCCTCCCTTCCTTCTCTTCTTCCTTCCTTCCTTCTTTCCTTCTTTCCTTATCATTCTGTTATCTTCCTTCTTTCCTTCTCTATCATACTATTATCTTCCTCCCCTCCTTCCTCCCTCCCTCTTCCCTCCTTCTCTCCTCCCTACCTCTTCGTCCTTCCCTGCCTCCTTCCCTCCTTCTCTCTCTCTCTCCTTCCTTCCTTCCATCCTTCCATCTATCCATCCTTTTGTTATCATTCCATTATCTTCCTCCCTCCCTCCCTATCTTCCCTCCTTCTCTCTTCTTTCCCTCCTTATTCCTTCCCTTCCTTCCTTCGCTCCTTTCTCTCTTCCCTCCCTCCCTCCTTCCTTCCTTTCTTCCCTCCCTCCCTCCCTCCTTCCTTCCTTTCTTCCCTTCTTCCCTCCTTCCTTCCTTTCCCTTCTTCCCTTCCCTCCCTCCCTCCTTCCTTCCTTCTTTCCTTTCTTCCCTCCCTCCCTTCTTTCCCTCCCTCTCTCCTTCCTTTCTCCCTCCTTCCCTCCCTCCTTCCTTCCTTCCTTTCTTCCCTCCCTCCCTCCCTTCTTTCCCTCCCTCTCTCCTTCCTTTCTTCCCTCCTTCCCTCCCTCCTTCCTTCCTTCCTTCCTTTCTTCCCTCCCTCCCTTCTTTCCCTCCCTCTCTCCTTCCTTTCTTCCCTCCCTCCCTCCTTCCTTCCTTCCTCCCTCCCTCCCTCCCTCCCTGTCATTCTATTAGCTCCCTCCCTCCATCTTTATCCAGCTCTTCATCTAGATAGGCTTCCAGAGCAAGGACGATGAGAAACAAGACAGATCCTATTTGCAAGTTGATGGACAATCCCGTGCAACGGGGAGGGAATAGTTTGGGCTGGAAAAGGAAGACAAATAGACCTTGACTGCTTGAATCTTGAAAGATGCAATAAGTCAAGGAGGAAGGCAGAGAGAGAGAGAGAGACCATTCTTGACAGCCTCAACGAACTCAGAGGTTGGCCGGGAGAGAAGATTTCCTTCAAACTTTAAGTAAGACAGAGAAGCATCTCGGTCCTGCTTCCTCTTCGGCTGCCAATCAAACTTGGCTCTCCGTTCAGATGGGCAAAATACGCTTGCCAGGATGCCTAATAAGCCAGGATGTCCAATTTACACTACTGGCTGTGAAACAAATATACATTGTTGGGGTGTTTTTTTGCCAGTCAAGGCAACAAGAAACTACAGTGAAGGAACAGAAGGGATGTCAACCTGATTCCTCCTAGGATGCTTCACATAGGAGTAAAGCCCAGTTTGGGTATCCGAGGTTTCCTACAACAGTTCATTTAGTGGCCGTTCGAAGTTACGACGGCGCTTTAAAAAGTGACCTACGGCCGTTTTTCACACTTACAACCGTTGCAGCGTCCCCGTGGGATCAGAATTCAGACCCTTGGCAACTGACTCGTATTTACGACGGTCGCAGTGCCCCTGGGGTCACGTTGTATCCCCTTTTGGGACCTCATGACAGGAAAAAAGCTCACTTAACAACCGGGTTACTAACTGAACAACTGCAGCGATTCATTTAACAAGAAAGGTGGTTAAAATGGGGCACAACTCACTTAATAACCGTCTCCTGTAGCAGTGATGGCGAACCTTTTAGAGACCACTTATGCATCGTCGAGTGCCGGGTGGGTGTGGCCCATTGGGTGGGTGTGGCCCATTGGGTGGGCGTGGCTGCAGTGGTAACAGCAGACTGGGTGGGACTAAAACGTTCAATCAATCAATTCCAACTTTGCAAGATCTTTTTTTTTCCCCGCGAAAAGTTGAAATTGACTCATTGATTGAACCTTTTTTTTTTTTTGCACATGGCGGCAAGCGAAAAGGTTTTATAAAACCCAGCTGAAGGTCTAGGACTGGGGCGACGGCGCGCGTGCCCACAGAG